TAAAATTTCTCTCAGATTTTCTCGCTTTAGACACAAAACCGCGCTATCGTTTACCGTAATCTTTACCATAATTTCTTGAAAAAAATTAATCCGACAATACGTATATGATAAATAAAATTTCTCTCAGATTTTCGCCTTAGATACAAAACCATCTCGAATCTTTCTACAACTTCCTTTGAAAAAAAAGACAAGCTACTCACTGGCAAAGCGCGGGTCGTTGGTCGCCGGTGGCGCCGGGGCGTACCAGGGATGATGGTGCGACGAAACCGCGTGGGACCTCATCGGGTCCGTGGCTGTGGCCGTGGCGCCCACGCCGGGCCCGGCGTGATGGTACGGTGACAATTCCGCGGCGCAATATTGATACTGCGACGTAAGCTGCATAGTTGCGTAAGGATTACCCATGGCACTCATGCCTCCGCCGGCACCGCCGGCACTACCGCCGCCGCCGCCGCCGCCGCCAACGGGGGCGGCCCCGTTGGCAACGGAAACCGGTCCGGGGGTGCTGCCGCCGGGCGTTGAACCGCCGTGCAACGGCGGGCTGCCGCTGCTCGCGCTCGAGCTACCGGTGTTACCACCCACCCGTGCACCGCATGCGTTCCCGTAAGGCGAGCCCTGGGAATGGGTCACGACGCCGACACCAACACCGACGGCGGCGGCGGCGGCGGCGAGCTCGAGCTTCCGGTAAGACTCCTCGATCGGCGACAGGATATCGGTGACGCTGAATGGGGTGGTGTGGGCACCGCCGGCGGCCTGTACGTGGGACGAGTGCTGCTTCGGCGACAGGCTCATCGCCAGGTCGATGCCATTGAGGTCCGACAGCAGGCCGGCCTGCTCCAGCTGCGATTGCTGTTGCTGCTGCTGCTGTTGCTGCTGTTGCTGCTGTTGCTGCTGCTGCTGCTGCTGTTGGTGCTGATGATAGGTCGTGGCATTGCCGTTACCACCTTGATTGCCGCCGCCGTTTCCGCCGCCGCCGCTGCCACCGCTCATCTCGGCGAGCCCGACGCCGTCGAAGTACTTGAAGCTCGCGCTTCGCGGAATGATGAGGCCGGCGCTAGCCGTAACACGGCGCATTATGACGCTACTGCTCTCTCTTCTCTCTCCTCTCTCCTCTCTCTCTCTCTCTCTTTTTCTAGTTTGTGCCACTCGCGATTGTCGATCGCCGATATCGCGCCGTCGACGTAGCTCCAACAAGATCGTCGAATCACTTCTTTCTTACGGGCGAACGAGATCCGAACGTTCAATCTTCACCCTGGAATCTCAAGGATACGTCACACGAACGCGGGTCGCTCACACTCGGGGACCGGAATCAGTACACACGACTAGTTAATCTCACAATGCCACAAGTCGTCACTCATATACGTCAAACGCGCTCACTTAATTACTACGACGGGTCACGGACGCACAATACAAAAGGAAATTCCGCTCTTTTCACCAACACCGGGGCTGTTTATCTCCCAAATCAACGTGGAGCCCGCAATCGCTCGCCGCGAGCCGGTGTCCGTCCCCTTCTCTCTTTCCGTGATCTCGATCGCGTTTAAACGCACGCATAGCTCTCGCGATCGCGAAAAACGGATATCTCTACAGGCACCCTGCGAGATCGTCACGGACACTCTGCGGACGTGTTTTCTCTCTCGTCGAACTACCCGTTCTCACTACCTTACTCGACGACGACGTCGTCGACGATGGTGGATGGCGTTTTATCCATTTTCGAAGCTCGGGAAACTGACGGACGAGAGAGACGAAGGGACGTCGCGATGTCACGTGGCGCGCGGCGAACTGTCACACGTAACAACGGGGCGGAAAAATCGAAGCGCGGTCGGCCGGCGGCCGACTCGGATGGCTCTCCCGGGAGATCGTCGGGAGACGATCTCTCTCGACAACTCTGCCGGCGCGATAACGGGCCGATCGTTGGCGTTTCGCGTCTCTCTTCGGAAATCCAAAACGGACGAGAGGGGCCGACGCGGCGACCTTGCACACGTGGTCGAGGATAGTGGCCGGCCAGAGCCGGCCGGCGGCCGACTGAAATCACACGGGGGTCTTCGAGTCCTTGGATTCCGCCGATAGAGAGACGATGGTAGATGTACCACTCTACGCTTCGCCTCCACCTTCGTCGAGGATACACTCTCCGTAGGAGAAGAGCCGCTCTATGGATGGATGGATGGATGGATGGCTGGCTGGGTGGCTGCCTGCCTGGCTGGCTGGCTTGGCTGGCTGGCTGGCTGGCTTGGCTAGCTGGCTGGCTGGCTGGCTGGCTGGCTGGCTTGCTGGCTGGCTGGCTGGCTGGATGGATGGATGAATGAATGGAGAGGACTTCTGTCGGGTACTCCTGGAGAGGTCCTCACGGCCGCTTAGACCCACTCGACCAGCGCTCGCCCGCTCGCGCTCGCGCTCGTTCGCTCGTTCGCTCGCTCGCTTGCTCGCCCGCCCGGGCACAGGCCCCACAGCCTCTCGCGGAGAACCCGTACGACGACACGATGAGTGGAGTGCCCACTACGGAGAAGTGCCTGCTACCAAGAGTCGTGATGAGATGTCCCCTTTTGCGTGTGAGAGAAGGGTTTCCATACGCCGTGGAGAGGCGCGGAGAGGCCGCGGCCGGGAGAAGTGGATGCTGAGACCCGCCGTACGATCATTGGACGAGCACCGTCGTACGGGCGGCGCCGTCGTCTCGTCTCGTCGTTCATTGGCTCCCGTCGCTCATCGCCGTTACCCGGAACGGGACAAGCCCATCGGGTTAGCCGGCACGCCGTTGGTGCCATGACCGAGCGAGTCGGAATCCTGTCTGCCTATCGAAACGCTCGCACGAGGCTGCGCCCGACATTGTGGCGGCTGGAGTCACGCACAATGCCGTCCGATTTCCCAGGCGTCCAGCCCCTTCGGCGACGCCTCCCCGCCGACGGAAGGGCGGGGAAAAACCGTCGACGGAAAAATGCTCGTGGCACACGCGCCGAAATTCTCGTCGGGGCTCAGCGGGACCGACGGTACTTTTCGATCCACGTCGGCCGTCACGCATCCGTTTCTAAGCGCACAAATCCGGGCTACCTCGCGAGAGGATGACCCGAGTTCACATCATTGCTAAGATTCTCTCGCGCGTATTCTTCCTTTCTTTTTCCTTCTCTTACTTTATTTTATTTTATTTTTTCCTTGTTTGTTTCGAACGGAACGCGCGAAAGTTCCGTCGTCAGTCTCTCGTGACTGTCGGCGCAAGCGTGGGAATTAGACATCGCGTTCAGTGGTGTTGATCCGGATGAATCTCTCACGCGGGTGATATCGGGCGAGGTTCGTCTTCGGTCTGGTGCATCCGATAACGAATCCGATGCGTTGGTGCATGCTGGTGCGAGCTACGAGGCTGTTGTACACAAATTATCTAACTGCCAAAGCGTTAGCGTATAAACGTCCTGGCTAAGGATCTGTTTGACAGATGTTCCATCAAACTATGTGACAAGACACGTGCTGAATTCTATACATATGTTTCTTGTGTCACTTTTGTATGACAGCCTTCAGTGGACACACTAGTGCGCACTCAATTTGTCATGAAAAGATCGTCGGTAGTTTAATTTCCAAACAAATCGCAGATTTATGCAATTAATTTAAAAAAAAAAAAAAAAAAAACGGAATATATATTTGGACATTAAAGCTTATTTAATAATTTAAACATTACATGCTTCAAGAATGTCTCTTTGCATTTTTAAAGATACGAAAAACTGTTGATAAATTATTTTTGACAAATGCAAAAGTACTATAAAACTTTCTTCTTTAACAGATGATACTTGGATTATTTAATCTGCTCTAATATTTAGATATATTTATTTTCTTTTGTAAGTAATACGAAATGCTTTGACGAGCAAAATTATTTTAATTTAAGTTTTGACTAATAAATCGATTATGTAAATTGTTAAATATTTCTTTAACATCGCATTAAAGTGCACGGTGTAATTCTTTTAATAGATCGTAATTGATTAAAAGTTAAAAAAAATCTTCATATTGAGAAACCTATCGCTTGCATACAAAATTATGAGTGCATCTTACTTTTTTTATAAAGAAAATAGAAAGAGATATAAAGAAAAAAGATTGCCTTATTTTAAATATAAATTTCATATATATAAATATATAATTATACAAAAATATACACATTCAATGAAATAAAAACGATATTTTTTTGTATAATTCTTTTTACTAAACTTTATTACATGAGACAAAATATTTAAAAATAAGATATAATTTTCTTGGAAATCTCTGAGAAAATATTATAAAAGTGATATTATAAAATTTAAAGAAACAAGTATGATAGCCTAGGAAAATGTTCACGTGTTCTTGAAATCATCAACATTTGATTAAATATAGAGAATGTTTTTAATCGTTTCTAAGCTTTACATATAAAATATAAGAAAACACTTTTGATTTATTTCTCACATTTTTTCACTATTATCAGCACTTGACACAAAAATGCATTATAATTAAACAAAAATGACTACTTTATTATTTTATAGATCTATCAGTAATATTTAATTTAATAATTAATAGATATTAAATTTTGTTAAATTTTTCATTTAAAACATATAAAAAATAAAGAGAATATTTTGATTGTGTCATTTATATAACATTTTTCTATAGTTTACTTTAAATTGCGATTGAATAGTTATTAATTTAATTTGCCTAATAATTTATCACCTATAAGAAGAATATTTTGTTCAATACAGATGAAATCGACATAATTTAATATAAATAAAGAGGATTTCTTGAATATTTAAAGTTAAAAATTGTCATCATCATCTTATTCGAGGATTCTTTAATATTATTCTTTAATATTAGATTTTACAATTGTATATATTTGAAATTCTCTTCTTTTTTCTTCTTTTTTTCTATAAGAAATATAAAAATTAATGCATAAAGAATATAAGAAATAATGTAAGAATTGATAACATCCTATAAAAATATTCTTTCATCCTTTGTCATTTATCCAAAAAAATTTGTAATAAAATATTTATAAGTGCACAAAAAGATCAATCAATTTTTGAATCTTATAATTTATTGATTTCTTTGTCTAACAAATATTTTTATAAAAGCATTAACATTTTATTACTTATTTACTCGATTAATGGCCTTTTATTAATTTTTATTTATTTATTAATTATTAATATTTATTTAATTTTTATTATCGAAGATTAATTAGTACATCTAATATGAAAAATTAAATAACATATTTGATTATAAAATATGATTTCTCTATTTATATGCATTATACGCAATAGAAAATTCCAACTTGAAGAGAAGATTTAAAATGAAAGATACATTCTATTTTATTTCAATCCGTACATTTTCTCTTTTTTTATTTAAATCAGATATAAACAATAGTTAGTGGCTTCGATTACACTATGATTGATTCAAGTGATAAATGATTTATTTATAGAGACATCTGAATTGTTAACGCATACAAAATTATTTTTTATTGTCATTTAGCGTGTAGATATTAAAACAGATTAGATTACAGACAATAATTATATAATTCATAATTATGTAAAATTTTTTCTGTAAGCAATTCTGCCGATTAAATGAATCGACGTTTAACTTATCAAATAACACTTGTGTCCATTTCTATTAATATAGATTAACTTTAATCTCGGTTATCTCTATTTTAATCCTAAGAATTAGAAACAAATTAAGAAAAAATTAAACCGAAATAAAAATTAATAAATATTGATAGAAATGGACATAGTGTTTTTTTAACGTAAATAAAATTACCTATTTTTACCTATTTTGTTTCACGCATGGAGAAGAAGCTTAGATTAGACAATTGAATAATTACATAAAAAAAAAGCAATTAGAAAAATGTTGCTTATCTGCTGGTTGAATTAGTCGCAGAAGAACTATCTCCATCTAACGAATATTTGGAGATTTAATGATCCATATTTGGATAGAAAACAATACGCGTACTGCCATCTAACCACGAAGGGGTGGCACTGCCAACTTTTTTAAATAACCGCAATTATGATATCAGGAGACGTGATACAATACGTGTTTATCAGTTGAAATTTGTGTTAACCAATAGGAAACTTCGATAAGATTCTGAGTAACCGGACTTTTATCGTGTTTGATTTGCAACTCATTATGTACAAATATATATAAAATAGCGATATTGTGACAAAGTAGTCTTCAACGTTGTTCGAAAGAAACCACGTGTAAGAGAGACAACAGCATCTAAGCGTTCTTCCCTTATATTCAACATGTCAGAAGCAGCGAATATTTTGCACGGCAAAGGCGAATTGATGGAGAAGATTAATTTGTCTGTAGGACAATTATTACTGATGCAATTGGCGGCGTATGGTCCTCGTATAGCACAAGTAAATTTCTCTTATATTAATATTGACTACATTTACATGGCGACATTAATCTGGTTTAGTAACAACCGTAGTTAATGATTTCTTTAATTAGATCATAATCTTAGATTTAAAATAATGTATCAATAATGTATCTAACGCAAAATTTCTAATTACGGCTATTGCTAACATTGCTATATAAATGTAGTCATTGGCTTGTGTAATTTATTGTAATTAATATTCATGTATTTAAGAATTGTAAATTTTTTACTTTGTAACTATTCACCTTGACATCATGTACAGTCCTTTAGTATTATGTAATCACCTAATGTTGAATTTTGTTACAGATAAACGCCCACACTGGCAAAGAGCAAACGTATCAGTATATTTTGGATACCAGCCGAAAATTAGCGATTTACCTTCAAAGAGAAGGACTGAAGATAAGTGATACCGTAGCAGTGTGCAGCGAAAATAATCTAGAATTTTGTATTCCAGTATGCGCTACATTTTATCTGAATGCTATCGTTTGTCCCTTAAACCCTCTGTACTCTGAAGGAGAGTTGAAACATGCACTCACTATTTCAAAACCAAAATTTATTTTTGTATCGAAATTGGCGCTTAATAACATGACAAAGATATTCAGAGAATTGTATTGGTCACCAAGGATGTTAATACTTGATGAATATGGTAATAACACATCATGGATAAGCATGTATAAAGCAATATCAAGTATTTCCAGTGATGACGCAAATATGATCCAAGCAGCTTCTGTCGATGTAGATAATCATGTAATAGCGATTTTGTGTTCAAGTGGAACTACAGGATTGGCAAAAGGCGTCATGTGGACGAACACAAATATAACTGCAGTTATACGCTCATATATGAGCAGTAATACAAACATGCTTTCTGAAAATTCTATATCTTTGTCGTTGCTTCCATTTTTTCATTCTTACTCTTTTACCTTGATGATATTGGGACTGTTGAGCGGAAACTGCAGTATTGTGTTTTCACATTTTGAGGATGAGTTATTCCTGCGATACGTGGAAAAATATAAAATTCAATATTTGCCTGTGGTACCGTCGCTTATGATATTCCTGGCAAAACATCCACTCGTAGACAAATACGATTTGTCGTCTATCAAAACAATATGGTAAGCATAATGTAAATGAAGATATCCAAATCCTGGAAGAAAATTATCGCAATTCGCAACATTACAAAAATCAAGAAAATAGGTGGAGTAATTCTTCCTTGCAGCAGTCTTCTTTCAAACATTTCATAAATCTGCAATTGTTAAAACTTAGATATATCAAAAATTTATCTTCTATCAAATATTAATTTATTTCGGAAATTTCCATAAATTTGTATGATTACTAAAATACTTATTTAATTAGGTCTGGAGCAGCTCCATTGTCGAAGGAAATTCAAAATGCTGTTTCCAAGCGTTTAAATATTACTGAAATTAAACAAGGATACGGATTGACAGAAACCACTTTAGGTGTGTTGCGAACCCTAGATATAATAAAACCAGGTAGCGTTGGTGTGTTGGTTCCAGGTATATCAGGTAATAATCTTGAAAATATATCTCATCTCTTTAAGACATAATTAATCAATATATAATGTAGATTGATAAATACATTCGTTTCAACTCATTCAAATATTTCAAATTTGAATACATTTTAGCATAAATATTGCATTATAGTATCAAACAATATTAGATAACAATTAAATGTTTCAGAGTTCGTTCATTTCTTTCTACAAGTTTCAATATCTATAATCTTAAGAGAATGTATTATGTAATGTATGAATCATCATTTCATATCTTATGTAATGTAGAAGTAGAGTTACAGATTTTACATAAGTTTTACAATAGTTTGTCAGTCTGTACTCTTTCAGCAAAGGTAATACCATTGGGAGAATATGAAACAGATAAAGCTTTAGGACCAAATTGCATAGGAGAATTATGCTTCAAAGGAGATTTGATAATGAAAGGCTATTATAACGACGAAAAGTCTACCAGAGAGACGATTGACAAGGATGGCTGGTTGCACACGGGAGATATAGGATACTACGATGAGGACGAACATTTTTACATTGTCGATCGAATAAAAGAACTTATCAAGTATAAAGGTTTTCAAGTTCCACCAGCTGAACTCGAAGCGATTTTGTTAAGTTACCCTGGTATACAAGATGCGGCTGTGATTGGTCTACCAAATGACAAAGCTGGAGAGTTACCAATGGCTTTTGTGGTAAAACAAAATAATGCCAATATTTGCGAAAAAGATATAATCCAGTATGTTAATGGTAAGAATATTCGATCTCTTTATATATAATTTCTCTAATAAGAATCTCTAACTAATTACATTATTAAAATAGATAAAATGTAATCATATTAAACTTTCATTAATCAAAGTTTTATCAGTTGCTTTTCAATCGTGATATACATTTTAAGAGTATATTTTTAACATATTCATAAATACTATATATATTCTATAATATATAATTTATATTTTTGTTTCAGAACGTGTATCAAATCCTAAGCGACTTAGAGGCGGCGTAAAATTTGTAGATAGCATTCCAAAGACTGCTTCAGGTAAAATATTACGTCGAATATTACGAGATAAATTAAAATCAAAGTTGTAATTTATTAATGTCCATGTTTTAAAATGATCTTCCGCATCATTCATTATAATTTTACGTATGTACTATTCCAATAAAAATTATGATACACGAGATTTTGGTATTATTTCTACAATTGTGTGTATCGTGCATGTGTATACATAGATAATAATTTACGTGTTTAGATATGTTTTTGCTTTGTCTGTCGAACTGCATCTATCAAAAACAAGTTAAATATTTTTATTATACATAACTTTATTACAACCAAATATGCTAGGTGCAACAAATACATCATTTAATATAAGTAATTATATAAATTAATTATATTGAAAAATTAATGAATTTTTCTCTTATACTATATGTACATTGGAATCTTATTCAAAATGGACTTATAAAAATATTAAGCCTCTAATAAGTATAATCGACAAGTATTCAATAATAGCTAAAAAATGCATTTTTTCCTTTTTTTAAGAATTTAAATTCCATTATTCCAAATTTAATTCTATAATCTTCGCTATTATACAATTCTACCATAACTTTTCAGGAACTTTCTGATATAAGGAATAGATAAAATTTTTAATAAAAAAATTATTTCGATCAGAAAAATATTGAAGGTATTCATGGAACATGTCATTTAGATTTTATATATATATATATATATATATATATATATATATATATATTCAATTAATTTTAATAAACGGCAGTCGATTATACAAAATAATTTATGCTTAGATTGATATTACTATGATAATTTTCCTACAATATATTATGATCTCAACAGAATTAACTTTCAGCAGATATAGATTTTGTCAAACTGTCTACGTAATGGACGATTTAAGGAAATTGAAAAATATGAATTAAATCTCTGCTAAAAGTTAAGATTGATAAAGCATACATATTGAATACCCGTTTAATCTTAATCGAGGCACTATATCACTAGAAAATACTATATTAAATACAAAATTATATGCATTATTATTATCTTTACGGAAGGCAAAAAGGGAAGGTTTAAAGATTTTTGGTTTGTATTATGTTCATAGCATTCATTGTCATATTGTATAAGTAATTTTTCTATGTACTTCTAAAATCTTTTTTGTCATCGCCAATTGGTATGGCATATACAGAAAGAAAAAAATCATTGTTACACAAAGATACACAAGTTATATCTTTGTATTCTTTTTACATATCGAAAAAAATTTTTTTTAATGAGATGAAATAAGTATTTTATAAATTATGTTATTTATCTATAAATTTCCAATTAGTTCCAATTAGTTATTATGGTAATTCATTATGCATTAAAAGATCACTGGATATCCTTTTAATTACTTTTTTACTCAATTTGAAGATGGTCTGTCTCTCTTTAATATTGATGAATTTATTTTATTTCTAATAATCTAATATTTTTCTTATTTTTATAAGAAATTCGTGAAAAAATTTATTTTAAAAAAAACTTACAACTAAATAGAAGAATATTTCTCTTATTCTTCCCTTCCCCCTTCTTATCTCTTTTCCCTTATCCTATTTCTGAAATTTACTTAACAGAAATATTTATTTTGACTGTATAATTCATTACTCATGAACTACATTTTCGTTAACATTGATTTCAGACTAGAAAAGTTTCAATGAAAAAGATACCCAGTGATTTTGGAACAACCTGTATATTCTATTAATCAAAACTATATAATCTAACAATAACAACAAATATAGCAAATAATTTGGTTATCTACATAATTTTATACAAAATAATGACTATGATCAATCGAAAATGGAGTTGATTAAAAACAAATTTGCGTTATAAAAAAAAACATACTATCAAATCACTGTTTTTTAAAACTCTTCAGTATTGGATAGATGTTATCAAAAGCTTCATAAATTTCCTTCCGAACTTTTGCACCTGGTGACACATAAATATGTAATAAATATTCAAGTAAAAATTTAATTTCTAATATCTCATGGGTTTGAATATTTATTACAATATTGTTTGAAAATTGTAAAAAATTATGACTTAGATTACGTCATTAAAATTTTGCGACATGTATGTATTTTAATATAACTGCACAATAATAAATATGGATACTCACCTGTCAATACTACTTTTCCTGAAACAAATATGAGTAATACAATTCGAGGCTTGACCATCCTATAGATTAAACCTGGAAACAGCTCTGGTTCATATGATGAGAATTGTCCATGAGAGAGCACTAACCCCTCTAATCTAATTGGAAACTTAACATCACAGCTGCCGACCATATTTTGTATTTTAAAATCTAGGAACTTTGCCTAAATAATAAAATTAATTTTAATTAATAAAAATATATTTTTTCTATAAACTACAAATATATTTTTAAAATTTGTTTTGAGAAAAATAATGCATGCATTTTGAAACAACCGACAGATTGATAATACTTACGGGAAAACCCAATTTCTGAATAATTCTTGCGTACTTTCTGGCAGCAAGACGCGAGTCCCCCTCACTCTTAGCACCGGTACAGACCATTTTACCACTACTGAATATCAATGCAGTAGTTCTTGGCTCTCTTATTCGCATGATAACAGCTGCGAACCTTTTTGGATTATACTCTGCATTTCTAGCATGAAGTGCAATTTTTTTCAAATCCAGTTTACAATTTAAGTTAACAGTAGATACAATGTTCCTGAAATAAAGCAAAAGTACATTGCGTGAAGGAACAAAAGTAAACGTAATATTATAACAAATTTCTTTGCAAACTTACTGTAACTGTGGTAGTATTCCAGGATCCGCAGAGGCTGGAGTCATTGGCGTCATTGGTCCTGGAGTTGCAGGACCTATCGACGGAGGCGCTATTTGATTGTTTTGCGGCACTATAGGAGACATCATATTTTGCTACAAGATAAAAGAAAGGCACAGAGTTAAAATAATGAATAAATGCATTAATGCAAAATATAAAATATTCAGACAGTACATTCTACCAGCATTGTAGTTAAAACATTAGTTATATATTTCTTAAAAATTTTTAGAGCTCATTTTTCCCAATTGCAAGTTTCAACATTCACTACTAACCCTTTTAACTATTAACATTTTGAATATAATTAGCTAAATTCTAAGCTATAACTAGCTTAGAATTTAGCACTGTGGTATTAAATTCAGCATTGAATTACCGGCGTTTGCGGCTGCATAAGACTCTGTGGTGTCGCAAACGTCGGAGTCGGAGCATATGTGTGTATATTCTTTTGTGGCGTCGTTATCATCAGCATGCCACTCTGCATATTGGGACTCATCGAGTGTAATTGCTGCAGTTGTTGGTATTGTTGTGGCTGCGACTGCTGCTGCTGTTGCAGAGCATTCGGCAGAATCTGTTGATCCTCTTCAGGTTGATGCAGAGGTGTACCGATACTAGGTATACTGAAACCGGGACTTGGAAGCATCTGATCCATTTTTGATAGTTATAAATTTATGCTCGTAGTCGACAATATTTATGATGAATCTTGTTTGGAAGTATGAGAGCGAAATCCTTGAGGTTATAATCGCATTTTCACAAAGCGATCTACCTCAGAATATGCCAGTTACAATCTGAAATATTGCTGAGTTTATTAATATTATCAAGACTTCTATCTTCTAAAATGTAAAATATAAATATTGTTTAAACAAGATTTTAACAAATACTCTGATTTTGACATTTGTTCATATCTAGTTCTACCAAAATGTAGATTAATTTTGATCTTGATTTAACTTACTTTTATCATTTTTTAATTCTAACAATTAAAATATATTAAAAATATATGATAAAAAATATGTTGAACTATGATTGAAGCTTATCTATATTAATAAAAATCATGAACATAAAAATCAAAAAAAAGATAAAGACCAGATAAACAACTTAATATTATAATTATACATTATAATTCCTGCTTAACCAATAGAAGTATAATATAACATATGTTACATTATTAAGATTATAATAATAACAATATATGTATATTAATAATGTTCTGTTCTTAATTATTTATAATTCCTTATCCTTTATGTCTACATCTTAAATATAGAAAAAAAAAAAGAATTAAATATTAAGAACTAGAAATAGAAAATTTCTTTCGATTTATCGAGAAAACACTTTAATATTCCTTGATTGTGTGGATTTCCATACGTTAACATTTGATTCTCTATTCTTAATTTTCTCCACGTTTCTCTCTTTGTTCCCTTCATTGTCTGAACTCTTGATTGATGTTCATCGCAAAATAAATTAAAATTAATAGACATCGCATGATGAGAGAAATGAATATCGGAAACCTTACTCTGTCGTCTCAGACTTTAGCATGCAACCTACCGCTTATCTCGATTAGCGACACCGCAACGCTAAGTTACGCCGGGCACAGAAAAGTCAATCGAGTCGCGAGGAAACTATTCGCTCCCGAGAGAGATTTTTATTTCATAAATCGAGTCAGATTCATCAGCTATCTTTTCGCGTGCATGCGTCTCTCCGCGGGCGTTTTGTTTACAAGTCACTACTCTCGAGCACGGAGTCGGTATGCGATACAGACGTAGTTCGTTAATGGCCGCGTTCGGCAGAAAAAGCAGATTTGCAATTGTTGCAAAAGTCCTTTAGTATGATTGCTTTGTACATTTAGATCCATGAGGAACCAATGGCAAAAGCCAATCAAATCATTTTTACAACAGTTGCAAAGCTGCTTTCTCTGAACGCAGCCAATCGGTCGGCGAGCGGCGATCCTTCGTCCTTTTTCGGATGAGTTTTGGAACGTGCCGAGCGCCACCAACCCGCCTGATCGATGTCAACATGGCAGAACCGCGAGCTTGTGGAAGACTTCGCGCTTTGAAGTTAGATTGGAAGTATACTTGAATCACATTTCTCTAAAAAAATTTATTATTCTTTTTCTAGCGTTTTGGTGTTTATTTTGCTTTTTAAATCGTTGCTTGTACCTATCGAAAGAGTAAGTACGTTTTCTTATTGGATGATCAAGTGACAACTGTATCCTAGACTCTGATTTCGATATTAATTTTCTGTGAATGGACAAAAGTAATAATTCAAAGAAAGAGCTGCATATTTACGCAATAAATTAATAATGAATGTGGCATATTGTATTTAAACTTTCTTTTTTAATTTGTGAAAAAAATGCCACCTTCACAGATTACTAGGCACGACAAGTGTTCTCTTCTATCTTTAAAGTTAATCTTACACTTTGCAGGACCGTTTATTCTAAAAATTATCAAAGACGAATCAACATGGATAAATTACTCATTAAAAAAAAACAGTGTGCCAAGCGTGACAACAATCTTCACCAATTGGCCGAAATTACGGAAACTCTAGCAGGCATGTATTTCGAAAACGAACGGTTGAAAGAAGCTTTGCGGGAGTATAAGGAGCAGTTGAATGTCTGTGAAGAACTACAAGACAAGTTGAGATGTGCTATAGCACATAGAATGATCGGGGAGGTTTATGCAAAATTAGGAGATTATGAGCAGGCTTTGATGCATCAAAATTTATACTTAGAAAGTGCCAAGGACATGAAGAATATGCTGGAAGAGCAGCGCGCATTTGCTACCTTAGGCAGAACTTATTTCTGTCTGGCCGAGAGCTTGGATGGCAAGAAGCGTGACGAGGCTTTGGTAAATGCAAAGATGAGTCATGTGCGGAGCATGGAGCTGTGTGACATGTTAAAGAACATCGAAATTAAAGAACAGATGTTGATGCGATCAAGAGTATTGCTCAATCTAGGATCAACAATGGAGGCATTGAAAGAGACGCAACAGGCAATTAATTTGCTCGAGCAGGCAATCACACTGTGCGTATCCAACAACTTTCAGGAAGAGTTGCACTGTGCCTGTATTTCTCTTGCAGCTATATACGAGCGACAGAATGATTACGAACTAGCGTTGACTTACCTCGAGACCGCAGCCACTATAAACAACATACGTCTGAAGGCCGAAGCGGAAATAACAAAGGCTGAATTGCTCATGCGAACCGGACGGTGGATCGAAACGCGCAAGTTGTTGGTTTCCTTGTATACAAGGAGTGGATTGTCGAAAGACATTAATCACTTGGTGGAGAAATATCTGAGGATTGTTGTAACTATATGCCGTGCGGAAAATAATCTTCTCGTCGAGACTGACGTTGAGGCTAAGCAGAAACTATATGAAACTCTAGGCGATGCGGCGGTCGCTGCGAAATGCTTCAATGGAGGCGTGGAGTATTATCGACACATGCTGACCTGCGCGGAAGAAACGGGTAACCAGATAGGTGCTTCTTTGGTAAGTCTAGCAAGAACGCTCAAGGATGCGGGGCGATGCAAGGAAGCGTTGCCTTACGCGCGGAGGGAGCTGAAACTTTGCAAGAATTCTCAGGAGAAATGTGAATCGGCGCTGTTTCTAGCAGACTTGCTAATAACGATGAACGCCGCTGATGCCGAAATTCGGGAATGTTACGCTCTGGCGTTGAACTCGGCAAACGAAAGCGATAATGTTAAGCTGCAAAAATCCGTTACGAAAGACCTCGTCAGTTATCTGGAAAGTATAGGCCAGTTCGACGAGGCAGAAGCTACAAAACGAAAAGCGGAATTAACATTGGAAACGCCGAGCGACACGGAGAGCGAAGCAGCATCCGAGGAAAGTGATAGAATTGGTGCGGACATTTGTCTAGAGGATTTGTCCGATCTAGAGACTGAAGAGAGCATCAAGAAAACTGTTGGGACTGTTGGAAAGAGAAGAATGAAAAGAGCAACGTCTACGATCAAGAGGAACGAGAAGGGCGAGACGCCGTTACATGTGGCGTGCATCAACGGCGATATCAGTGCCGTCGAGAGGCTTCTGTCGTCCGGTCATTCTACGAACGTTCGAGATCACTGCGGTTGGTCTCCACTTCACGAAGCTGCTAATTACGGCTACGTCGACATCGCGGAACTGCTCCTGAAACACGATGCGAATGTCAACGATCCAGGCGGCACATCCTGCAAAGGCGTGACACCGCTTCACGATGCCGCAACCTGCGGACACTTTTCGATGATGCAGCTCCTGATGCGTCATGGAGCGACTGTTACGCTCAAGACTCATGATGGCGAGACGGTGTTGGATTGCTTGAAGGCTTGGAGACGTCGCGTAGAAGACATAAGTCCCCAAGATTTACTCGAATACGACGCTATGTGTGAAAAGCTTTCGGCTGTTATTCCAATAAAAAGGAAAGGAAGAGACTTAAAGACTTTGGTCGGTCACCGGATAAGAAGTCCGCGCCGCCCGAGGCTCGAAAGATATCTGCCGGGGAGGATTATAAGCGAACAATAGAGAACTTGCGATCTTTCAATAAAATCAATACCGTTATTGCTGCTTCTAAAAGCAGCAATGATGAAGTTGCGCCTTTAGTCGGTGAGGAACAGGTTCTTATCGACGATTGGCTCGAGGACGATATCGGAGATACAACGCGAAAGAAATCTACGTCAAACAATTACACTGCAATAACCATCGGAGACACAACGAGAAAGAAATCTACGTCAAACAGTTACACTGCAATAACCAAACGAAAGTCTTTTGACGGGAATACGGAGGGCGTCACTAAGAGATTGAAACGGAACGACACGTTTCGTCGAAGTAACGACGATTTTAGTTTAAGCGAGGATAGTGATGACACTATTGTCGACGATATGAGTGAATTATTTGAAGTACGTAAAAGAACTAGGAGAAAACGACAGACGTCCCTGATCTCGAGTGGATTCACCGTGTCCGGCGTGTCTCGCACGCCGTCTCCAGTGGCATATTTGCAACCGTCTTTGCCCACCGCAACGAGTTCGAAGCAACTCGACAAGGAACACGTACGTTTACGTATGTTTGTTAAAGAAAAAATGTTCGACATAAAAGTAGCAGTCTGCGAAGATGAGAGGGAGTTTTTAACAAACATTACGAGTACTACCGAACGCGCATTCCACGATGAAACCGGTTGTACAGTTACGCTGCTGCTGCAACTTGTAAACGGTAGTGTCGCGACGAAGGAAAGTATTCGACAAATCGCGATGGAAAGAGGCAAGTTGGAATGCGAGATAGTCGAACTGCAAATCCCATCCATTGTCGAGCGATACAAGACCATCTGTTGCACTCATAACTTGACCCCTTGCGAGATCACGCTGAAATGCTTAAAATCTTGCGAGAATACGTCTATATTTCGCGTAAAATCCGACAATATTAACAGGCAACTAGTCGTGCCTTTGTTAAAAACTTTAGAATACGAAAAAAATATCAAAGTGTTACAATTGTCGGACAGTGTACTGCTAACGGCGGGAGTAGAATTGTATCAATGTCTCTCGAACCTTCCATCCCTGCAGGAGCTCTATTTAAAAGGCTGTGATATTGACTTCGCCTGTTTACGTCAGGTGAACTCGTTACCTCCTCAGTTGAGAGTCCTAGATTTGAGTTATAATCCATTAAGTTCCGAAAGCAGTGATACCCTGCGAACACTGATCGCTCCCCTGAAATATTTGCAAACTCTTAACTTACGTTATTGCATGTTGGAAGACTTTTGCCTTCCACTCGACAATCCGAATCTGACGAGCTGCGATATTTCGTGGAATAAATTGAATCGCGACGCGGTGACCTCTGTGCTGAGTAGGCAATTGTTCGACTTGAATTTATCTAATAATCTGTCTTCCAATCGATTCGTCTTAGAGTTAGATATGATAGCTTTATCACCGAGTTTGGAATCATTAGAACTTTCGTTCTGTGATATAACAGACTCTGATATAAAAGTTATCTTAGCGCAATTGCCTAGGTTGTTGAAATTAATACTTAGTGGGAACACGAATATATCTATATTGTCTATAAACATATTGTTGAGTCGTCAGCCTACGTTAACTTACATCGATGTTAGTGGTTGTAAAAATATCACGGATAATCCCGAAACTGGATTAGCCATACAAAGTCCCGAGGTTTGCACACTGCTGGCTAGTATAGAGCCTAATTTATGTGATTCTTGGATTAAATTGTGGCGAGGAGCAGGTACTGTAACGAAATTACCTCATAATTTAGCAATTTTTAAACCTATTTGACTTTCTACAGAAAACAATATTTTGTATATGCGTATTGCGAAAGATAATTTATTTTGTAAAAAAATGTACATGTAAATATGTTTCTAGAAAAAAATAATATATATTTCATAATACATTTGATATTCCCAGAAAAATATCAGTTTGTGAATTATTCGTAAATCTATCTCTTCCTATACAGAAGATACTGATTTATATTGACATTATTTTGCAAAAATCAATAAATTATTTTGGAACAATTAAATATAATTTGAATTTTTTTATAATACTGTGCAGTTTTAGAAAATAGATTTTATAGCTTAATTTACAATTACATTTGTAATTTGTTATTTTAATTCGAATGCATAGTATTTATTTCCAATTTTGCATTGTATTTCGTTGACATGCACATAAGCATCTTCCATATTCTCTGCCAAAAATTTATTCAAACTACAAGTAAGAGATGGTAGAATTTCTTTTAAACATTCTTGCTTGTCTCCGAGGCACCAAAAGAAACTGATGTGATATGAAGTATCCTATACAAGATAAATAAATATGTATATATAAAAGATGAATTATATCTCTTGATCTCCAAAAGATCAAAAAAATCTCAATAATTAATAAAAATCTATTTCACATTAACGAAAGTAAAAAGGGAATGTAATTATTATAATACCTTATAAAACGATGGTAATTGATATCCAGCTAATAAATTATCCAGAGCTTCTGTTAGGCACTTTAACACTCCATTCTCATCTTGACAATAAATTCCAAGAAATGTACGAGTTTTTTCTTCATTACAATATACCTTAATATCTGTAAGCTGTATGACAAACTGATTAAACTGACGGCATAACAGTTTTATACCTTCTACAAATGACTCGATCCAATGAAACTTTAAAACCAAAGTACGACTGAGACTGATATGAAGACTAGAAATGATATCGCCTTGGACAGGCAATTCATTTAATATAGAATTTATCCAAGTATGAAGACAATCATTGGCCGTATCTAAAATCATTTGAATCTTTGCTTAATCTTAGCATTAAAGCACTAATTTGTGTTGTCACAATATGCAAATTAATACCGATCTTACTTAAAATTAAAATATTACTTACACTTTATATAAACCAAAGTTGCCCAGTTACCACGCTCATGTTTAAAGCTTCGTATCCGTCCATCATGACCTAGTGGATCATCGACTACTTCCTCATGATATGAAACTCCTTTCCATGATGAGATACTGTCAGGCAAGGCCAATCTGTACAGTTTATTTAAAATATATACTAAAATATGTGCAATGTTTATATTTTATTCTTATACTATAAATATTTAAAGGAATCGAGAATTACAAAAATTTTAGATGTTATAATTCCTAAGTTTGTTTTTTGTTATAATTTAAATGAGAGCTCTTACAAATAAGTGTATTTTAATTAAATATTAATTCGAGATAAATAGTGTGGTTTATGTACTTGTTTACAATTTTATCATCTTCTTTATCATCGTGCTTGTCTTCGTCTGAGTCGGAAGAATATGTTTGTATTAAACGCAAACCAGCCATATTTCTTGACTATTTTATTCAACATTAAATATCTATTATCACTGTTTTATGAAATAATACAGATTTAACAGTACGAAATGCGGAAATACATAAAGGTTATGAACAGTTTTATATCATGCACGCGTTTGTCAGTCACGGGTTACTTCTTTGAAGATACACTATGTCTGTATCAAAATTGAAGTCACTTTTGGCTTTTTACTGATTGGCCAGTGTCATTAAAATCGAATATGATAAAGTTACCCGCTATATTTAAAAACTTAAAATATTAAGAAAAAACAATGTATTTTTAAAAAATAGAAAATTTATTTTAAGCAACCATATTTGAACCATATGAAGAAATTAGAAATATTTATAGTATTATGTAATAGGCAAAAGATTTATATATATGTATATGTATTGCATTTGTATATAATTTCTTAAAATATAAATGTTCTCAGGAACGAATTATTTGTCTTATCATATCCAATATATATATTTATATTCATATACTAACATTATATTCATATACTAACATTAAATTAAAAATTAAATTAAAAATTTTTTAATTTGCAAAATTCTTCAAATTTAATAAAATTTTAAATTTTCTAAAAATTCCATGAATTGTAATTATGAGAATTCGGAATTTTAAATCGCAGAAAGTCTTGATAATCAATGAACTATTAGGAGAACATAATTAGGAAAGAGGTTAATCTAATGAGAATTCTGAGAATTTTCCAATCTTTCAGGAATTTTGATTTTAAAAAATCAGAGATTGATGATTTTAAAAAATCTTTAAATTACAAAAAAACAAAATCTCAAAAATCAATTAAGTATCAGGAGAGCATAATCGGAAAGGAAGTTACATTATCTAAAATTTCAAGAATTTTTCAAGATTTCCAAGAATTCAATTCATAAAAATTTAAAAATTGAAGTATTAAGAAAAATAATCAAAAAGAGGAAAATTGTTGCATTATCCAAAATTTTGAGAATATTATACGATTTCCAAAAAATGAGATATCAAACATTCCAAATTTTAAAATTTTGAAAAGAATTTCACTATTATAGACGAAAAATTATTATACTTAAAAGTTTCATTTCAATTGCCTCGCATTACACGCATGTTTCACTAAATTATGGTATAATTTTCTATACCTTTTCCAAATACTTTCTCGATACAATTCATTTCGCAATATAATCTTAATCCGCATTTTTTTTATTTCATGTTTATTATATAATTATTTAATGTACTTTTGTAATTAATGTACTTATTATTATGTACTTATGTTAATTTAATGTACTTATGTAATTCCCATATATATAAAGTAACTTTTAATTAGAGATATAAGGTTTTTACAGGTTTTATAGAACACTTGTACTTGTGAAAACTTGTATTTTGTTTTGATATTCATTAGATTGTACGATTATCATCGATTTTTGCGATGTCCTTTTGAGTGTCGTCAAAGACTCTCCCCTAACTTTCCTTTCCGATATCCTCTCGCTGGTCGAGCGATCGTACTCTCTTACGTAACGCTCGTCCTTTCCGAGTCGCTCCTTTCTCTCTCTTTCTCTCTCTATCTCTTTGCGGGCATCGGGCAACAGTCGTTTCGCCATTTCTGCAACTTCGACTCTGCTCGCCCGAGGATTTTCAATATCCTCGGAATACGCGGCTCTCTTTGAAATTCAGATATTGCGAGCGAAGCGCCCTTTAGGCGGTAGCCTGCACCTCAAATTTGCACAGGCCAGACCAAGCCTGCGAGCAGTCGACGAAATCATTGCGTCTTGCGATATCCACGCGAGATCCACGGTGCTATCAATCATGCGTGTACAAATGCGAGAGTGACATGTACCTACGGGAAAGATCCTTACTTAATGCGCGACTTGGCTTTACGAATTAATATCGATGCAACGTGATTCCGACGACTTGATGTTGAAAAATCCAACGATAAAAAAACCTTAAAATTTTTCGAATAAGAATACAAATTCAAATAAAACTGTTTGGCAATTAACTCTAAATTTTTCGAATATGTATATGCAAGAGATGAGTTTATAATCGAGGCTGTCAGTTGTCTCGAATTCTTTTCGCTCGCGAGACTTCAGTAATAAAGAAACGATAGAGAATTTAAAGTTATACGATACACGTGTGTTTCATATTTAGTAAACGCCTCTCTCGTTCGCGTCATGTAGAATGCAACTTTCCGTCGAAGAATACATTTTCGAATGCATCCCGAGAAGACTTCCGCGGTGATCAATTTTTTTTCTTTACCCTGCGCAGGAAACATTGATCCGAGTAACATTTTTCATTCGTAACAAAAATAAAATTCGAAAGTTTTATGAAAAGGAAAGTTTGGCCGAGTTAGATCTCTCCTCGGTCTTATTCCAAGGGACGAGGGATCGAAGACTAATGCTAATTTTTCCGTATATTTCTCAGGTCAACGGCGAGGACGAGGTTGACGAGGGTCATCGCCGAAGACGTTCTCCGAACCACGATCAATACTCGATGTACCGCCGGCGGGGTACAAAAAAAAAGCCAGGAGAACGCGAGGTAAGGATCACGGGAACGGAATCCCGTCATCGACAACGGCGGCGGATCGACAGTAATTGGCGACTGTCGGAATCTGCCGTCGGTCGCGAACTCTGAACTTTCGAAAAATAGTTACGCGACCGCGGAAAGTCGATAGCGTGACGAGAAACGAGACGCGACGAACGAATACCACGAAATCCGATGCGTTTAATCGCGGCATTTCCCGACCGCAACGAATCCGTCACCGTCGCGTTGAAAGGATACAGGAGGAGAGCTGGGGAGGAGGAGGGGGGGGGGGAGGGACAGACACTGGATTTCGCGACGGCTGCGGCGGCGACAACGACGACGACGACGATGACGACGACGGTGGAGCGGGAGAGGGGAAGAGGTTGTGCGGAGGGGTTGTGGACGGGGGTGTTGCGGGCGGTGCTCGCGTGTTTCGCGAAAAAGAAAAGCGCGGAAGTTCAACGCGAGTCTCCCGGCGTAACAGGTGGTTAAACAGGGCTGTAAAGCAGCTCGCGAGCGGTGCGAGGGGGAAAGAGGGGAAGAAGGGTTACAGCGGGGGAGGAAGTTGAGGGAAGGGTTAAAAAGGTCGGACTTCTCGCGAAGTGTGCAGGCGAGAGATCGCGGCTCTCTTCCGCGCCCGTCCACTTGTCCTCCCCTTCCACCCTCCTACCCTCGTTTCTTCTTACGTTCGCGAATTGCAAATTAATTGTCCGGATTATTTCGCACGTCGCGACGCACTCGCGCACGCTATTCCCCCCGGGTTTTATATCGGGCGAGCCGATGTCCCGTGCTGAAAAGAAGAATACGAGATCGTACGTTATCAGTTAGTCAAAATTTATCACGACAGAATGCATTTAGAGGATTATCGCGAGCGCGCCGAGATATATATCACCAGTAGTTAAAATTAATTAGAGCGAGCCGCGCAAAATTTCCCGCGCATTTTTCGAGAACCGCCACGGTAAATCAACATAACAATAACGGGATGGTAAATCCATTCCGAACGTTTAGGGATCCGGGGCGCGATAATTACGCGTGGTGTATTCAACTTGTACCCGAATCGCCGCGCGATTCGAAAAATCGAAAAACGGGGGAAAAACCTCTTTCACGGGGATTTCGCGGGGGTGTCCGCGCGACCTCGAATCGATATTCGTCCCCCGCCCCCCCCCAAATCCGTCCCGCTCCTCTCGCGCGTCTCTCACCGAGATGACGCGCGCCGCGTGTTTAACTTATCGATTGCACGGAACGACGCGACGATCGTAAAACGCATTTAGGAGTATCTCTCCACGAATCCGCCACGGGCGGGCGCGCAGTGGTCTTAATTAATTCGATCCTGCAGCCCTTCCGTAGCTTCCCGATGCCATTTCCATCGTCGTCGGGAGCACGGTCGCTCGCTCGCGGGGAAGGAGGGCTGAGGGGGACGGTGGATTCCGCGCGCCTCGGGGCGACGAAAGGAAATTGGCTCGGCTCGGAGACGTCCTGCCTCGGACGGAGCATCCTTAATACCGTAAAGTAAGTTTAATAGAGGATGCACCCGCGCACCGACGCCTACTACTAGGTGTTGGGAGAATATCGCGCTCCCTCGGCTCGTAGTTAAACATTTAAATGGCAAAGTAATAAATATCCGTATTAAGCTGCGCTTAAATGCCCGAGTTAGCGCAGACCTGGACGTTTAAGCAATAACGATCAAGTTAGGACTTTAAATGATAATGATTATATTACGCTCTCCTCCGTCTCGATGACCGCCGTTATTCAAATGTCGAAGTCAGTGTTTTACTTAATCCATCGCGAGAGAACACTTTCGCTGGCTAAAATCTAAAAATTTTGCCAAATACAAATCTGAAAATAATTTTGTTCAACTTGTTATTACATCGTATGTACATCGTTTAAATTGATTGCTAGAAGATCACATTTATTATTCATCATGCTTAAACACAGTAATTTTGATCCAATAAAATTATTTTCAGATCTGCATCTGATGAAATTTTTAGATTTGCCAGCAAGACTGTTCTCTCTGTCATTTATGTGAATTAATAAAAAATATAAAAATTACACACACACACACACACACACACACACACACACACACACAATACATCGAATACACACACAAATAACAATTATAACAATTTATATAATAATTCATCGCGATGAGAATATCTAGGATTCTTAATCTGAATGCAGGAACACACGAGGCATAACAAATTCGCAATTCGTGCGTAATAATTAAATTTGAAACGAGGGGGAGCAAAGGGGACGGAAAAAGGGAAGGAGTAACATGGAACTGGACAGTGGAGAAGAATGGAACGGAAGAGCTCGGGACGACGCACGAAGGGTGCAAAGTGATCGCTGGAGGGTTGAAAGCAGGGTGGTTTAAGTAAGAAAGGAGGACGAGCAAGAAGCGAAGGGAGGACGATAGAGACTGGATCGGAGAGCGGGGGCGGAGGGGGAAGCGGGGAAAACAGAAAGCTCATCAGACGCGTCAGTTGCCCCTGGCGCCGCGCTTCATCCCCTCGAACTACACGTTTCTCCAGTGTCTCCAGAGTCTTTTCCGTCTCTTCCTCATCGGCGCCCGCTTATTTCCCTTTCCCCGACATTTCATCCGACATTTCGCAGCGCTCTCCGGGGGTGCGCGCAATTTCGCATCGCCCGCTTAACCCGTACGTTCCGGTACGCTTTCTAATACC